CGGGGTTCGAACCTCAGGCCCCAGGATCCAAAGCACGCCAGTGACACCCGTCAAATGAAGCGAATAGATCAAGTTACAGAGGAGACAGTAGGAATGAAATGATTTAACTTATCCTCGTTATTTTGGTGGTACATGAGGTCTCAGGTACAAAAGGAACTGTCGCCAATCTAGTCAAGCAGCTTGATTTCGCCCGATTTTACAGTACCGTAACAAACATAGATCGATCGGTAATTTACGTTTCACGGATTATCGTGCCTATCACATTTACTCAAGTATAAGGGCTCAATTGGGTTCGCGTGTTGAGCAAGGTGTAGTGTACAATTAGAAAGTGCGAAAAGATTCACAAAAATCTTCTATCTGACAACACTGAGAAACGAAGAAAAGAATCTTTCGCGAAACTCAAGTCGTGTTTTAGTCACAGAAGTCAAGCCGCGACAATAATGAAGCACACACCAAGCGATCGTAGGACGCCAAAGCAAAAATAAATAAGACTCGATTACCAGCACACGATGATCAGTCGGAACGATTCTTACAGAACAACAAGAACAGAGCAAACGGATGCACAAGAAAAAGTTGTTTATTACACCCACTCCATGTGATGAATAACAGGTGGGGATAGCCCCATAGTCACGAGGACCTGCTGTTCAGTGACGGAAACCTAAGCCCTGGGACTTGGAGTGGCGAACCACATAACACCTTCTAGGTTAGGCGTGGTATTGAACCGGACGACAGCAAAGTTACACGCCACCAAAGTTGAGTAGCGGAGGCGCGGATCTTCTGAAGGGAACGCCAGCTGGATTACAGGGCGTTAGAACATGTAGTCACTAAAAGAAGATGAATGAATTAATGAGGAGCAGATGCACACTATCGGTAACTTAGCAATGTCTCCATCCGGTATCGGGTCTTCTATCGTATCGGAATTATGTCAGGCCAGCGCACGTGCTCTGGTGTAAGCTCGGACTAGACGAACTTCTTACGAATGTGGTGAAAAAAAGATAAGCGAACGGAACAGGGTGCAGTCTGACAGAGTACATAAAACTCACCAACAAGTTTTAGCCAATTTCCGTTTCCAGCAAATCGGCACAGTACATATCCGGAAAAATGGGGGCTGTTATTCACTCATGAAAGAAGAGTGCATGCAGAAAACTATTTGAACAATCATCATATATCACTACCGGTTGGAAAGGCTATGGTTTTCGTTGCATACAACCGGATGCACAGGGAAAAAAACGAGTTTAGTTCCAATTTGGATGCGATTTTTTACAGGTATATTTACGCCAGAATAATGGATTGATGCATAATTAAATGATGGAAAAATAATTATACACCTAGTAACGCAGTTCTAGTTCACGGGTAGAAGATCATCCAGGAGATATTTCGTGTGGGGATATTTTTTATACTAAAACGGTATCCAAATGAGTTAGGCAAATCTATACAGGAAACTGACAGTGCTCACCTTCCAGATAACCAAACAGACCCATCTCACGCCCTATTTTCTGCCGATATTTCCAGGCCATTTGCATAGCGTCTTCCGTTTTTTTGCCACCCGAATTCTGGATGGATGCTTTTCTACCGGTCAAATTGTTCGGATCTAGAAGACAGTCTGTCCGATAAGCTCGTACTGCATCAATTGGGATGGTGCTTTCCTCTTCCGATTCGATTCCTTCGACCTCGATCGGATCGAGCCAAACAGTACCGCCGTCCGTCAGATAGTACAATTCGTTGAACAAAGCGGATTTGTACCAATCCGGTAAATTGCTAGTTTAAAAGAAGAAATACGCCGGATAAGCAGGACGAGAAAGATTATTGCCGATAAAGAAGAAAGTTGGCCCTACGAAAGATAAGACATAATTTAAGGCTTCTGGTTCATCGGAAAGGATAAGACGATATCATGAAGATAACGAAGTTTTATTAAAAAGACCTTCAATGTCACCTAACTTTTATTCAAAGGCACACTCGATTTTATTCGAAGATTCTAAGTGGAATCAACGTTTGTACACTTCGTTGAAACTTCAAACTGACCATTTAACACCTCGTAAATAGCGCCTATTCAACTGGAGACTGGAATTCAGAGGAAAATGTCCGACTGTGTTATATGGATGAGGGATCATCTGTAACCCAAAGACTACCATTATACCTCAAAATTAAAGACAAGCGTAAGTGCTGTGTACCACCGGGGAGTGTACTCGGAATTCCACTTAAAGCTTTAATGGACCAGGAGAAGTTGATCATTGAATAAGCATCAAACGTAGGGTTATTCGAGGCGGGTTTATTGAAGTGTGTGCGGCAAAGGACATATTGCTGTTTCTATTGAGATGATGAACGGGACAACAAGAAGGGATCAGAGGCATGGAAACACTGTCGGAAGGATTTTTGAAAAGACAAAGGATTATCTTGAACAAACAATTGAAACACATTCGTCGATAGTTTGAGGTGCGTGGTTACGCAGCGGGATTGGTCAAGTGATGCTCTCGGATGACAATTTAGAAATTCAGTCCCTATCTTATTTGCCAGAGAGTAGGTACTCGTTTGCTACTTACACCACCACAGTACGAAGATAACGACGGTCAAAGACACAATAAACCACTGCATAATACAGGTGAGGTGTGGGGAGCTGATGCACGTTGGGGTTCAGTGAAGAATTGGTCTGGATAGATTGCGAACAACGGTTGAAACGATTGGACATGTGTGTGAAAGTAATTGAAACAACATAAAGTGTAAGAAGTAGAAACAGCCTTCGGAGATCAGTATAAGTGAAGAATGCAACGCTGGGCGGGGCCTTTGAATTTCGGCTGTGCTTTTCGAAATTAGACAACCATTTACGTTTTTTGCAGTGGATACTATTGACCGTACACGTTCACATCAATTAACCAATTTTTTCAAGGTCAAATGCTGACCTACAACTTCCACTTTATGAAATCTTTCTGTGTTTTCGCGAATGACGTTGAAATTTCAGATTTTTCTCAGTCCGTGAGGAATCGTTACAAACGGTCGAGAAATAAACGTCAAAGTCACCATAAAATGCATCGCGCTGGATGGCAGGTTGCTCTCCGGCGAAAATCTATCAACAGGATGACCATTCCGACCATTTGTTCCTGTAACAATCGCTCACTTGTGGGAAAAATTAATGAGGTTCAGAATCTGGTGCAACAGAAACAATGCAAAAGTGTGGGAGTCATTTTACT